CTAAGTGTTTTTCTCACATGAGTTTGTGTAACCAGACCTACAGCTTCTGGGGTCAGGGCCTGAGTTCCTCTGAGTAGCTCTTAGCACTTCCCACAGGTTGCCCTTCTCAGTAGCCAGCTCCCAGCATTTCCCTGCCCTCTGGTCCCCTCACCTTGCGAAGGAGGGCACGGTCAAAGTCCCCAAGGGCCAGCGTCGCGGCCTGTCCGGCCCGCAGCACACGGCAGGCAGAGCGGTTGCGCTGGATGCTGCACACCCTCAGCTCTAGGAAGCAGCCGTCATCGGTGGGGCCCACCACCAGCTGGTCACCCTCGCGGCAGATCCCGCTGCAGCCCAGACGGCGGAGCACAGGGTCAGCCTGGGTCCACTGCCTGCTTTGCTAGGGTCACCCCAAGCACACTTCCCCTTCCAGCGATGAGTTCCTCAAGCAGAGGACAGGAGCCCTAATTCGGACTTAGATGTGGGGTGGCTGCCTGGCCAGGCCTAGCATTCACTTTGAAGGGTGACACCCGAAGAGGCTGCAATGACAGCACCAGTGTGGCACCCCTAGGCCTGGTAACACCCAACACCTGGTCCCTGAGGGAGCAAGTGGTCCCCTTGGGTTTGGAAGAGTCCTTTTCTCAGTCGCCCACGTGAGACTAGGTCAACGGAATGCCTTCTAGGTTTCTTCCTGTGGCCCTCGACCCACACTTCTCTCTCAGGGGCCTGGAGAGTCCCTGGAGGCAGTGACTAGCTTGCAGCTCTTTCGTAGTGAAAGCCTAATCTGCAAGCAAGGATTCCTAAGGTGGGCTGTTTAGTTCCAGGGGCTCCTTTTTGGGGCCAGAATGTCTTTGTACAGGGATACCTGAGGGCTGAGCAGATAGCAAAACAAACCACTTCACCTGGAAAGTGTCCCTCCAACGACAGTTCCAACTTCTGGTACTGTGTAGATTTCATCCACCTGAAACCCAGAAAACTGTCACTGTTCTGCCCAGGAGGGCTGGCAGGTCCAGCAGCTCCCCTCATCCCCAGCCTTCTACCTGGAATTCTGTCAACTGCTGCATGAGCTCTTCTTGCTCTTTGCTATTGGTGAGTGGGGGCAGGATGTTCAAGAAGACTTTGAGGAGGTCCAGGCTTTCCCCAGACACGCTGGACAGTGTGAAGATGGGGGTAACACTGCACAGGGAGGCACAGAAGGGGCTGCTGAGAGAAGGCTGGCAGGAAATAGAGACCAGTGCCCACACAGGGAGATCTTTTCTTAGGAAAGCCAAGGGAAATAGCACACATTTCCAAGGTCCCCAGCATCAGGAAAGCTCCAGGTAGGCTTGGGACAGGGCCAAGCCCTTCACAAGAACTGTAGTCCCAAGCTGGAAAGGTCACAGAACTGGGCAACAGCTGGGCTGGCCCTGGGGAGTCCCCATGCTCCCAGGCCCCAGGCAGCCTCCCCTGTGGATCAGAGCTTCCAGGTAAGACACACTTACTTGGGGGACTGAGCAAACTGCTGGGCGGCAGTGACAGCATCATCTTCAGAGGTGACCAGCATGGGGACTTTGTGGCAGCCAGGCTGCTTGAGGACCCGCTCCAGCTGGCGTACTGTCCTCTCTACCGTGGTCTTGGCACACAGGTCCACCTTGCTGACCACGATGAAGAAGGGCACCTTCAGGGCCAGTGCCAGCCCCAGATGCTCCCGCGTGGTGCCAGCTGCTCAGAGAGGGCGTGCAGTAAGAGAGGGGGAGGAGGGGCGTGTCAGTATGGCTTCCAGGGCAAGGACAGTCGGTACCTGCCTTCAGCCCTGTCCCCACTGACACTTCATACCAATGCCAGTGTTGGCACTGACGAGGAGCAGGGCACAGTCAGGGCAGTACGAGGTGAGGCCGAAGATGGTGGTGTGCAGGTATTTGTGGTGGCCGGCCAGGTCGATGAAGGTGATCATCTTGGAGCTGCTCTCACAGATCTCCTCTGCTGTCCGTGAGTCACTGTAATTCACCACCTGGCCCAGGGCCCAGGGTCTCAGTGCCCTGCGAGACCCCAACCTTTTGTGTGTCAGAACCTAAACCAGTCCCTGGGGGCCCTGCCTCTTAGCCTCAAGCCCCACTTTCCTATTGAGCTCAGCTGGCTCCATTCAATTTGCGTTCTAAGCGGGAAAGAGCTTGCTCTTGTCCCCGGGGCTTTGTCTACACTCCATCCCAGCCTCATCAGAGTCTGCCCCACTGGGTCCCGCTGATCCCATGCACCTCTCCTTTGCTGTTAAAACCCAGGATCTCGAAGCTGATGCTGGAGGTTCGGCCAGACTGAATCTCATGCAGATGGCGGAAAAGGTTGAGCCGGGCACGGCCCCGCCCGTTGTCCAGCTCGCCCTGGGTCAAGACTCCCAGTAGGGTCGACTTCCCTGAGTCCACGTTCCCCAGGACGGCCACTCGGAGGTCTAGGAACTGTGGATGGATGACAGTGGTAAGCTCTCTGGGCTCCATTCTCAGAGAAGGGTGGGAGCAAGAGACAATGTGGATACCACAGGACCCCAACCAGGGAAGAGCCTGCCGCCAGGGGCAACTTTAGCGGGCAGGGAGGGCACGCACTCACCTGCTGGTTGTCAGGGACCTTCCGCACCAGCACCTCAGTGATCTTCCGGGGTGTGTCACTATCGTAGTCTACTTCTCGCTCCCGGAGGACAGTGATGTCCGCACCGACCCTGTCACAGGTGCCACAGTTTACGTGGATTCCCCCCATTCCAGCCTGGCCCCCGGACTTTCCTGTATCTCCCCTCCACCACCCTCCCTCCAATCCATCCCCCGCTCACAGCTCCTCAAAGGCATAGTAACAAGCAAGCAAATGTGTCTTTAAAGGGGCTGGGGATTTAGCTCAGCAGCACAGCGCCTGCCTGGCAAGCACGAGGTCATGAGTTCAATTCCCGGTACCAGGAAAAAAAAGAGCAAGTGTGTCTTTAATCAAGGGGCTAAAAAGCCCAGGTCCAGGGAGGAGCATGGAGCTGGACTTGGGCCCCGCATCAAGAGGCAGAGCAACAGGAAATCCCCATTCAGCCCATGGGCCCTGGGTGGTAGGAGCACATGGATCCCCTGGGTTGGGTAGGAAACGGGGAGCATACTTCTCTGCCATCCGATGCAGGGTCTTGAGGGAGGCCCTCATCTCCTCCTCAGCCAGCCCCACCAGCAGCCCATTGTCCTCCACCCCGATCTGGTAGACAGCCTCCCCACGTCCCTCCTGGAGCCGCCACTTCATCTGTGTCACCAGGTGCTCAAAGCGGTACTGGGATGGGTTCACCAGCTTCAGCTTTGGGCAGGCAGGGAATCAAGAAAGGGAAAGTCAGAGGTGTTCTAAACGTACATGATCCCCACCTGTCCTGCCCCAAGGAGCAGGGCTCTGTCCCCTAAATAGTGAGTCCACTGTTCCTCCCCAGCCTAAGACTCACTTTATATTCGATGTTCCCATCTTCTGCCTGAAAAGAAACAAGGTACAGTTATCATAGCATCAAACCAGTGCCCACTTCCCCGAAGGTCCCATTGGGCCCAGGCAGAGACAGTAGAGCCTGGGGCACCAGCTTAGGCCAGTGCCTGGGAGGTCAGAGCAGACATATCCTTACTAGGCCTCGAGATGGCCTCTCTGAAGGAGATGCATAACAGTATGCAGTGAGTTCCCCACTTAAGCCAGGAAAGGACCCCCCTCATTCTATAGCCACAAGACTACCCCTTCCTTCTCCCCAGGACCTAAAGCTGCTCTTCCGGGATGTCTATATCTCATCAGTGCCAGGCTATTGAGGTCTTTTTTGCTACTGATCTGGGAAACACCATTTCCTTCCTGCCCACTCTTTGCAGCTGATGTCATGAAGTGTAAAGAGGCTGCAAGAGATTCGGGGCCAGAGCCAAGGGTGAGCTCAGTACTGGTCACTTTAAGCTCAAGGCAAGGGAGTCCCAGGTGAGAAAGGAGCAGAACTCCAAAGTTGGAGCCAATAAGCAGAGCACAGTGGTGCACACCTGTGATCCTACCACTCAGGAGACTGAGGAAAGACAGGATTGCTGTGAGTTCAAGACCAGTCTGGGCTACAGAGTGAGACCCTGCCCCTCAAAAAAACCCCAAATAATACAAAACAAAGCTGGGGCTGATGTGAACAAAAGAAACTTAGAAAATGGAATGAAGGGGACAGATTCCATAAACCAGACTTTTACTGCCTGTCCCCTAATCCTGAATGCCCCCTCGCCAACAATCTACTCTCCCTCCCCTGGTTGTAGCACAGCAGAGCATCCTTTGGCCTGAGCTTTCCCCTCAAGGGTGCAAAAGGTTATAGGGTTTGCCTGTTCTGCCATCTACATTTCTGTTCCCCTCCTGTCTGGCTATTTTTTGTTTCCTCTCCCCCTCCTGCGTTCATTCTGTTCCTTCTGGCCCTAATAGGTGGTCTGCATCCCTCACCTCCACCATATGGGGTATACTGGAGATCCTCCTCCAACAAAGATGTTTTTGAATGAAACATCATTTCTTCAGGGGGTGGAGGATCAGGAAGTTTGGCCTCAGAAATGTGTCTAAGAATGACAGACTCAACTAATGGTTGTCCAAGCTTGACCCCAGGGCAGCAGCACTGTCACCACATGCAGATGCTCAAGCCCTGCCTAATAGAAATTCTAGGAGAGGGGCCTGCAATTCGAGCGACTGCTGCACCCTAAAGTTTGATAACCACTGGGTTAGGCGCTTCCCCTGGGTCCTATCTCCAGAGGGAGGAACAAAGTAGCAGTTCCTTTGCTCTTTGCTTTAAGGACAGACGGAGCAGCAGGCTGTTCTCTGTCCCCTCCCCTCCCGGAAAGGCAAAGGGCAGAGGTACAGCCTGTTCTCTGGTTTTATGTGGACGGTGTATGAGGGGCAGGGAGAGAACGTGCAGCTCTCTCCCCGGTACTCCTCCCTCCCTAGGAACAAGTTTGGAGAAAGTCGTGGTTCCCCTGTCGGCCTCCCCGGGCGAAGCACAAGTTAGGGGGTCCCCCATTCCACTCGCTCTTCCCGAGGGGGTGGAACCCGTATTCCCACAGCTAGGCGATCGCGGTAAGAAGGGGATCGCGCTCCTTCCCCTTGATCCTGGTACCCATGCGAGGTCGAGTCCCTGCGCCTGCTCCCCGGTGCCCAGGACCGGAAGGAGGGTCCTTCCCAACCCCTATTCCCGAGGTCTCCAACCCGAAATGGGGATTCGCGCTCTCCGTCCTGACTCCCCAGGGTCCGGGGTCGGGAAGATGCAGATCCCTCTCCTTCTGCCGCTTTTCAAGGGCTCACCTCTGGGGGGAGGTACGGGGGGTTGTTGGCTTTGCCGCCTCGATTCCTTCCGTTCTTCTTCTTCCCCTTCGGGCCCCCGCAGCCGCTACTGCCGCCGGCCCCCCGCGCCTTGAGGGTTCCGCCCACGGCCGGGCCCCCTCCGGGCCGGCAGCAGCCGCCGAACAGCTCCGACACCCGCGAGTCCATCCGCCGCGGCC